TAACCCCCACTGGCTGCCGTGGGGACCACGACCCAGCAAAACAGGATGAGTCACTATGCAAACCAGTGACCAGACACCCCCCATGGAGAGGAACAAAGGAAGGTGGAATGCGGCCCTGACTGGGGGGGCAGGGCTGCAAGGGAATTGAGTTAGTTACGGTGGGAGAGCATGGAGGAGAGCCTAGGAGAAGGGGCTGGAGTTTAGGGGCCCAGTCTCCCCCATCTCAAGGGGGCCTGAGGCATCCTAGCCCAGCTCTGGGACCAGACTACATCTGTGCTGTGCTGTATCCTGGAGAGGCAATAAACTTCCTCTATTCCACCGGCTGGTGAAGTCTGTTTGTGCCATTTCGGGGTGCAGGAGACGGGGAACCCCAACGCGCCGTCACACCAGCACTTGCGGGTTCAGGGACGCGGGGTCCGAATCGGCCTAAGGCCGGCCCTGCCAGCAGCCACTAGGCATGCTGAGGCCTGGTATTTTTTTCCCGCGGCCTGGTACGGGACTGCAGTCCATAGTTTGGGAAATGCTGGCATAGATCATGTAATGAATGTGCAGGTGGATGAGCTCCTGATAGTGTAAGTCACACCATTCAGCCTCCCCTTTTCCTCACATAAGGAAATGGTGGGGAGTAAAAAGGGGGGCGAGGAGCCAGCTTAAAAGTCAGCTGCTCCCAGTACTGTATCTGTGGGGGATGAGGGAGGCAGAGGCACAGTGGAAATGGCACAAGCAGGGACTGAAGCAGTCTCGGTTCATGCCACTTCTCCTGCGATTCTGCTTTAGAAATGCAGAAAAGTACCACAGGGTGCAACGGGGGAGTCCCCCGCTGGTCCTGCGCTTCCTGTCTGCCCCAGCAGGGCTCTTGCTACAGTTGAAAGGCAGAGGTGCCCTTATGGACTAATCCCATCAATTTGATTAGTTAATCAAAATTTAACGTTCCTAGGCTGGAATATGAGCAGTGCTGTGGGGGAGCTCTGAGCCTCAGAGACCAGATTCAGGAAAGCTGAGAGCAGCATCCAGTCCCTGGGCTTTGAGGGTCCCCATTTCTACAAACAAAATCCAAATTTCTGAACGGAAAACGGAGAAAGCTTACCACATCCAAAACATGCATTAGCTCATCTTCATAAATCACCCAATTAGTTTTCTCTAGCAGGAGGAAGCATTCTCTATGCAGTTTTGTTGCATACTTACTTTAGTAAATAAATCCCAGATATGCCACTCTGTGCCATCCTTTGATAAGACTTCATCCATTGCTTCAATGATCCTGGAGCCTTTTTCTGTATTACGTAAAGAAACGTAATCTACCAATGGAAAAAAGCTTTGTCAATTTAATTTTTCCTACTAAAAGGTAATTGTCAATGTGAAACTTGGTAACTTCTATTGGTGGCCACTCCTGCACCTCATGTCTTGGAAGGCTGGCTGAACTTGGCGCTTTGCTGTAGATATTTTTATCTGGCCCCTAGCATACAGTCTCAGTGCTTTTCAGGTTTGGCCTAGCCCTCAACACAGCCCACCCGCAACCAAAATTGCAACACCTCTCGCTCAAATAGTATGACTATCCATAGCATGTGTGCAGTTCATTTATCTCAGGGTAGCATCAACAGCTACCTTGTGGTCTTCCCTATATATCACGAGGCAGAAGCTACCTTGCCATGTGGATTTGTGAATGTGAGCCCATCTTAGTCAGCTGTGACTAAAGCCAGCAATTACTCATCGTAAGCCTGAGAACTGAGTACCCAAACTTTCCATCTTAATTTTTCAGAGGCCACTCAGGTTTGCTGATGATTATGACCTGTATATTGCTGAGGACCCAAGGGCATGGTTTAAGCCCTGTGATCCCTCACACCTCCAGTTCCCACTGTCTTCTTTAAAATGTAATGCGGTTCATTAAAACAAACTGTTATTACTGAAATCTGGAAACCAAAATGCAAACACCATGGCTATGTCTACATTGCATCCCTTTTTTGTAAAAGGGATGCAAATTAGACGTATCGCAATTGCTAATGAAGTGGGGATTTAAATCTCCCCCGCTTCATTAGCATAAAAATGGCTGCCGCTTTTTTTCGGCACGGAGCTTTGCCGGAAAAAAGCGCCAGTCTAGACGCGGATCTTTTGGAAAATAAAGACTTTTTAAGAGGGATAAGGGATCTTTCGGCTGTTAAGAGCTTATCATTATAACAGGGTGAGTTTACATCAGCTTTTGGACTAGGCCTAGTTTCATCATTACGGGAAAAAGTCTTTGTTCCTCATACAATGACTATTGCCCTCTTGTTCTAATAACATTCCCCTTCCTAATTTTGGCAAGGTCTTCCCACTTCTCTGGCACCAAGTCCAGCATTTCAAATCCCTTTGGTTTTCTCTCTGAGTGATTGAGTTCTGATTGGAATGTCGATCCTTCTTGGCTATAGGTTTGAGTTCATATTGTCCATCTGTATCCTGTTTGAATATTAGCCCCAAAGGGAGACTGTATTTTCCTTAGTATAAATCTGTTACCCATTTTCACTTACTATGTAATACAACTTATTGAGAGACCCCAAAACCTATGTCAGAGAGGGATTTGTACTTGAAGAACAAGGCTTGAAGTAGAGATAAATCTGCCACAGGGTTCCCTGTGTGACCTTAGACAAGTCATTTAACCTCTGTAGAATGGGATAATCTGTACTAAACTGCAAGTGGACCAAAACAAAAAGACATGAAATGATCTATCATACCACAAATTAGTCAGAAAATGCATTTATAAAGGGCCAAATTCATGTATGTAACTGGGGTCTAATTTTACTTAATCTCTTACCCTTTTGAGTGGAATACACTATAAAGTAATCACTAGCTGTTGGGAGCCTGAAGTGAGAAGTATCATCAACTTCCTCAGGTTCATCATCTGTTTTTTCAACACCAGAGTCTTTCTTTCCTATTGTAATGAAACAAAATATGTTTAAACACACTAATGTAATTACCTGGTGCCAAATTATTTCCAACTGACTTACCTTGTATAGTGTATCAATACTCTATAAACAGCAGCCTATACATGCATCTTTTTTTTTCCACATCCTGGCACTCCCACCTATATTTACTATAGGAATGCAGGTACTGGAATATGGTGATAATGGTGTTAGCTACATAGCTGGATTATTAGAAAGCAGAGTCGAAGGAACTTTTTGAGTAAAGTACATTTTGATTTAAAATATTGTTTTAAGCAATCAAATTCTTTTGTTTAAAATATAAAATTAGAAATAGAAAATGAGTAACAGGATGCTCTCTCTCTTTTTAGTTCACTTTTCCTTCCTAATTCTTTATTTCAATTGCCGCCCCCCTTCATTTGCATGCTACAAAAAGTGGGGAAAGAAGTAAAAGAAAAAAAATCAGAAATATTGAAAATAATTTTTGAAACAAAAAGAATTGATGAAAAAGCCAATAAAATTTTTGATTAAGCAAAAATTTTATACTCAGTAACCTGAAGAATTGAAACAAATTTCATTTCAAATATTGTAAGGATTCATTTCAAATATTATATGTATTGACTGATTTTGTTTTCAACCAGCTCTACTAGACCGTCTCAATGTCTGGGAGAAAGGTGAGGGCTGGCTGCTGGGGAATGGTTTATTGGAGAACAATGACTAAAGTTGTGCGTACAAATAGTTTGTTTGAATTGCTTAGAACCTAAAGTCTTGCAGATCTGGGGTACATTCAAATTTTGCTTCAATCTTTACAGTAGTCCGAAAAATGCCTTGAAGAGCCTGTTTTTGAGTGCCTTTTATCTCAATTTTGAAGGTCTATCTCCATTTTGGAGCTCTATGAGGTTCAGATGACTAGAATAAGCTTCAGGTAAGTATCCAAACTTTCAGATGCCTGTGTGAATCTCTCCTTGTGACCCTATGTTAAGTCAGGAGACTGCCCAATAAGAGTAGGCACTAGCTGAATCAGTCCTCACATACCTTTTCCCTGGGGTAAAAAGATTGCCTTCAGTTTCCCAGTTAAAGCCCTGAGGATCACCCCATTTTCAATTATGTAAGATTTGTAACTTTGAGGCCTTCCTTTCATCACCCACATTCTGCTGGATTAGGAGGACATTGTTAGATTCCTTTTAGTGCTTTGTAAAAGGAAGTCCTTAACTGGCCAGGGCACAAGAGGCACTGTGCCCCACTTTAGATGGAATGCATGGTTCATGTGGTTCTTTCAACACTGCCTGCTTTGAGATTGAGAGATGGGAGCTGGATTCTCTCTTGAGTAGCCACACAAGTACCCAGCACTACACAAGCCTGGGCTACAGAGAATAGCTGAGGATACCGGGCTAAATTTTAATGAAATCAGGTTGGGGTAAGGATGTTAAACTGTGATAGCGACTACACGATTAGTCGATAAGGGGGCCTTCTGCAGAGTCACAGCTGGAGCTGGCTGGAACCAGGATTGAGCAGTCTTGGCTCACGCCAGTTCTGGACCACTGCAGCTCTGCATTTTAAATGTATTAAGAACCACCAGGGACATTTAAAATGCAGAGGCACAGCTTCCTGGACTGGCGTGATCATACAGAGGCAGCAAGGAAGAGGGGGGGAAGCAAGTAGTCGAACTCCATTCAACTACTCACTTACATCCCTAGTCCAGATGCAGCCCCCAGCTTGACTAGATCCGGCTCCCACGGCTCAGAGCTTCCCCACCCCCAAGTATTGGGGAAATCCGTGCTGGTACTCCAGCCCCTTCCCTCCCGCTGTCCTACCGCATGGCTAGTAAACACAATCTACTAGCCTGGGCCCCCTAGTCTCTGGTGCATGAGGGGAATGTGAGGAATGTCTGTCTGCTTCTCAGTCAGTGAAGGTTTGATTTTTTTTTCTTTTCTTCTCAGTCCCTGACTGATTTTTCTGTGGATTTAGTGGTCACTGACCCAAAAAAGGTTCTCAGTTCCCCACCACTGCTGTAAATACTTTAAAAGGACATGAGATTAAAGCTTCTTACAAACAGGCTGGAAAGAGAAATTCAATGCTACTCCTGCAGATGCACATTTAATTCTGCTCACCTCCTCTGCATGCCTGAATGATAAAGATTTTAGGTTTTTCTTGGAGTTTTGGGCACTGCATATTGTTGAATAATGCAAATATATCATCAAGAAGAACGTGTTCAGAATCTTTCCCTCGAATGTAGCCATTTCTCCCATGACTCATAAGAGTGATGAGGCAGCAGCTAACTTCATCCTTTGATTGATTGATTTTGTCCCGGAACTTTTTCAACGCCAACAGTATTTCCTGTTACAAAAAAATGCACTGATCAAAATAATGAATTTTCAAAAGATTATTAACAACATTTGAAATAATAATAAGAGTAAAGGGTCAAATTAATTGTCCATAAGAAGTATTTTTAAAACCACTCCCATACTAGTGGGTCCATGACTGGGGTACCTAAATGCTATTATAATACAAATAAATAATAATTGCCAATTGAATGCTGTATTATGCCAGCTCTTCCCGCATAGCCTTGTGATATAGATTTCTTCCCTCTCTGATTTATAGCCCAAACTGGCAAGTGCAGTGAACAAGGCAGCAGCCAAATGGAGAATTTGCCTGGGAAATGTCAGAAAGGAGCTCAGTTAAGTGTGGCTTTTGGGGGGCTGTGTTTTATACTGGCGGGGTGAGTATCCAAGTGTCTGTCTTGGATCATTTGTTTGACTTGCTAGTTGCAGGGACTGTTTGACCGTGTGTTGGGCAGTTTGAAAAGTGTGAATTTGGGAGTGCTTTGTTCCAGGTGGGCCTTTGGGGGGCTGCCTGGATTGGAGACAAGGCTTTGAAACAGGCTTCCTGATTGGCGGCGGCAGCGCCTTATAAAAAAGGCAGCCAGAGTGAACAGAGTGAGCAGCCAACATGGTAGTGGCCAACAGGGGAGTTTGCATTGGAAATGTCGGAGGAGCTCAGGTAAGTGTGGCTTTTCTGGGGGCTGTGCTGTGAGCTGGTGGGGTGAGTGTCCAAGTGTCTGTCTGTCTCATAGACTCATAGACTTTAAGGTCAGAAGGGACCATTATGATCATCTAGTCTGACCCCCTGCACAGTGCAGGCCACAAAATCTCACCCTCCCCTCTTAGAATAATCCTCTCCCCTATATCTCAGATATTGAAGCCTTCAAATACTTTGAAGGCCCCAACATGCAGAGAGTCCTTCAGCTGTGATCTGTGCCCAATGCTACAGAGGAAGGCGAAAAACCTCCAGGGCCTCTGCCAGTCTACCCTGGAGGAAAATTCCTTCCCGACCCCAAATATGGCGATCAGCTAAACCCTGAGCATGTGGGCAAGACTCACCAGCCAGACACCCAGAAAGTTCCCTATAGCAACTCCTATGACACTAAGCTAGGGGGAGAGGTAGATACGCTGAAGGGCAGAGATAGGGTACAGAATGACTTAGACAAATTCGAGGATTGGGCCACAAGAAATCTGATTAGGTTCAACAAGGACAAGTGTACAGTCCTGCACTTGGGATGGAAGAATCCCAAGCATAGTTACAAGCTGGGGACCAACCGGTTAAGTAGTAGTTCTGCAGAAGAGGACCTGGGGGTTACAGTGGATGAGAAGCTGGATATGAGTCAACGGTGTGCCCTTGTAGCCAAGAAGGCTAATGGCATATTAGGTTGCATTAAGAGGAGCATTGCCAGCAGATCCAGAGATGTCATCATTCCCCTTTATTCGGCTTTGGTGAGGCCGCATCTGGAGTATTGTGTCCAGTTCTGGGCCCCCCACTACAAAAAGGATGTGGACGCATTGGAGAGGGTCCAGCGGAGGGCAACCAATATGATTAGGGGCTGGAGCATATGACTTATGAGGAGAGCTGAGGGACTTGGGTCTGTTTAGTCTGCAGAAGCGAAGAGTGAGGGGGGATTTGATAGCAGCCTTCAACTTCCTGAAGGGAGGTTTCAAAGAGGATGGAGAGAGGCTGTTCTCAGTAGTGACAGATGGCAGAACAAGGAGCAATGGTCTCAAGTTGTGGTGGGAGAGGTCCAGGTTGGATATTAGGAAAAACTATTTCACTAGGAGGGTGGTGAAGCACTGGAATGGGTTACCTAGGAGTCTCCATCCCTAGAGGTGTTTAAGTCTCGGCTTGACAAAGCCCTGTCCGGGTTGATTTAGTTGGAATTGGTCCTGCCTAGAGCAGGGGGCTGGACTTGATGACCTTCTGAGGTCTCTTCCAGTTCTATGATTCTATGAAGGGGGATTTGAAATCTAGAATCCTCTGTTCATTGGTCAAACCTTAACCATGGGGGCGACGGGACGGGGCTGGGCTGGGCTGGGCTATCATGAAGGACAGGGCTATATAAAGCTTGCTAGTAAGTGACCAGGGAGCTGGCAAACAAGAGTAGGTAACATGGAGTTTTGTGAGGGAGTGCAAATGGGGAGTTTGAAGGAGGCTAGGTATACTTGGCATTCTTTAAAACTTCATACTAAGCTAAAACCAAACCCTGTCAATCTATCTGTAGGAGAAAATGTAGTCAAAAGCCCAGCAGCTACAACTACTCAAGAGAGAGATCTTGGAGTCATTGTGAATAGTTCTCTTAGCACATACACTCAATGTGCAGCAGCAGTCATAAAAGGCAAGTGGAATTTTAGGAATAATTGAAAAAGGGATAGAGAATAAGACAGAAAATAACTTATTGCCTCTATAGAAAACCATGGTACGGTCACATCTTGAATACTAAGTACAGATGTGGTTGCCTCATCTAAAAAAAAAGATATATCGGCATTGGAAAAGGTTAAGAAAAGAACAACAAAAATGATTCAGAGTTTGGAACAGGTGCCATATGAAGAGAGATTAAAAAGACTTGGACTTTTCAGCTTAGAAAAGAGGAGACAAAGGGGTGATATGGTAGAGGTCTATAAAATCATGACTGGCATGGAAAAGGTGAATAAGGAAAAGTTATTTACTTGTTCCTATAACCAAAGAACTAGGGTCACCAAATGAAATCAATAAGTAGCAGGTTTAAAAAAGACACAAGAGAAAGTATTTCTTCATGTAGCACACAGTCAACCTGAGGAACTTCTTGCCAGAGGAGGTTGTGAAGACCAGGATTGAACAGGGTTGAAGACAGAACTAGATAAATTCATGGAGGTTAGGTCCATCAATGTCTATTAGCCAGGATGAGTCAGAATAGTGTCCCTATCCTCTGTCAAGAGCTCAAAATGGGTGGCAGGAAAGGTACTGCTTGATAATTCCCTGTTCTATCACACCCTCTGGGACATCTGGTATTGGTTGCTGTTGGAAGATAGATACTGGGCTCGTTGGACCTCTGGTCTGACCTAGTATGGCCATTCTCATGTTCTTATGACCAAACAGTTCTTATGACTGTATGTTGGACAGTTTGAAAAGTGTGAATGAGGAGTGCTTTGTTCCAAGTGGGCCTTCACGGTTGACTGGATTGGAAGCAAGGCTTTGAGTCGGGCATTCTGCTTGGAGGCTGCAACCTCAAAAAAAGAGAGACAAAGCGAATGGAGTGAGCAGCCAACAGGGAAGCATCCAGCAGGGGAGTTTCCCTGGGAAACATCTGAGAGGAGATCAGGTAAGTGTGGGTTTTAGAGGGCTCGGTTTTGAGCTGATGGGTGAGTACCCAAGTGTATGCTTGTCTGCAATCATTGTTTGACTGTGTGCTTGTCAGTGTGAATAGCGCGGCAGTTTGACAAGTGCAGCAGATTTTAAAAGTGTGAATTGGGAGTGCTTTGTTCCAGGTGGGTATTCTGGGGTAACTGGATTGTAGGAAGTAAAGAGAAACAGTCAAATGGGGAAAAAAAGTCCCATTCAAACTCTTCATATGAAGACAGACAGCTAAAATATAACAATTTTTATAAGTGCTTGCATACAAATGCTAGAAGTCTAAATACTAAGACGGGTGAGTTTATGTGCCTGGTATTAAATGAGCATGTTGACATTATAGGCATCACAAACTTGGTGGAATGATAATAATCAACAGGTCACAGTAAAAATATAGGAACGACAGACTAGGTTGGAGTGGGCAATAATTTTTTGCTCGGGGCCACTTGAAATTTTTTTGAAGTGGCTCCAGGCTGCACCAGAAGAAGCGGGGCCTCAATCGGAAGGGGTGGGGCCAGGATGCTTCCAGGCTTCCCCATTCACAGACCATGATTGTCTGAAAGAAGTGAAACTATTTGTGAATGAAAACACAGAGTCAAATGTGTTATATGAAACAAACTGAAACACAAAAATTCTATGGATAAAAATTCCATACTTGAATTAGGGATGTAAACAACTAGTCGCTTCCCCCACCCCTTGTTGCCTCTGTCAGAAAGAGGCAGCAAGGAGGTGGGGGTGGGGAGAGGATGGGGTGCATCAAAGCAGCAGTGCCGTGTGGAGCCTGGGGCCAGTCCCCAGCTCACCCTGGGCTACACATGGGATTTCAAAATGGCAGTGCTGCATGGAGCCCGGGGTCAGCTAGGGACTCTCCCGCCTACCCACGCTCCATATGGCACTGCTGCTTTGAAACACTGTGTGGAGCCTGATGCCAGGCTCCCAGCTGACCTCGGGCTCCATGCACCGCTGCTGCTTTGAAATGCCCCATGCTCCCTGCAATGCTTACACTTTGAAGGCAAAGGTGCCCTTATGAACTAATCATATAGTTGATGCAAATTGCATTGACTATTTGATTAGTCAATCAATCTAAATTTAACATCCCTAACTTGTATAATAAAAGTATAGCAATAGGGTTATACTACTGACAACCTGACCAGGATGGTGATAAGTGACTGTGAAATGTGCCAGATTAAAGACTACAAAAACTGAAAAATAAAAAATGAGGGAATTTCAACTATCCCTATATTGACTAGGTGCCTGTCACCTCAGGATGGGATTCAGAGTTAAAGTTCCTAGACAACATTAATGACTGCTTCTTGGAGCAGCTACTCCTGCCTTTCACAAAGGGAGAGGCAATTATTGATATATTCATGAATGGAACATGGAATCAGATCCAAAAAGTTGAACAGTGATGGAGAGGGGGAATATTTTCTGAACGTCATATAGTACTGACTTCTGCTTCACTAGAGTGTCCCATAGCACCAAGTGAGCCTTCCTTAAGGTCTGGGAAGCACTCCATGTGAGGCTATCTACCTGGTATGGTGTAATTTTATTGACCTACCTTCCCATCAGGATCTACGCACGGTTGAGAAAGTTCTTCAAATTGGTACTTGCAAAGCCACTTATTCATTCTTTCAATATCCTTTTCTGCACCTGACCGCTCTTTTTTCACGCACATCATAAAAGCCACACGTTTTTTGCTCATGTCATACTTATCCTGTTGATTGAAAGTGTAACATTAAAATGTCAGAATAGATGGCTGGTCTATAGCTTACTGAATAACATTGCTCTAACACAGGATGTTTCCTACATGGAAAAAAGAGTGTCCAATCCTAGAAGTACTCTTAAGAGCAATCCCTCTAGCCATGAGAGCATAAGTAGGATTGGCTTCTGTAGCCTTGTTTATAACATCAAACTGGTGTGTTACTAACAGCAGGTATGTGCAATTGTTATGGGTGAACAAGTGCTGAAAATGGTTTAATCAAAATAGCCGATGGGACCAAACTATTTTTAGCACCCTTGCAGAGAATGGTCCTGACATTCCCCAGCAGACTTTCTTCCTTTTTACCTCAGCATAAATCAGGATTAATTTTAATCTAAGCAAATGGCACTACAAAGAATAAAACGTGCAAGTGGGAGGAGAATTTAGGCCAAATTTTTCAGTTAGCAAACCTCTCTAGAACAGTTCATAGCAGGTTTAAAAAAATACGTTTAAGGATTTTGGTTCAAGTGATTTCTGTATTTCAGGTAACAAACAAAACAAACGTGTTAACCTTATCCCTAAATATTCCCACTGAAATCATGGCAAATTTTGTCATTGACTTCAACAGGGCCAGAATTTCAATCAGATGCTTATATATTATAGAATAATTGCATATCTAGTAAATGCTAGTATTTTACAATTATACTGAAAATATGGTTATCAGGAAAATCACTAGTAATTACTAGTAATTTTCTGAAGTTTTTTTGTGCTGTTACTATACCTAAGCCCTAAGGCTCAGTAGGAATTTAATAAAGTTGACATGAGGATGATTCCTACCGGTTAAGCAGGTAAGTGGTTAATCTTTCACATCCCTAAATGAGTAATGCTTACTGGTGCTGGTTAACCAGTGGGGGCTGCTCAGACAGGGGACCCACCATAGACAGGGACTGCTCTGGAGGAGGTTGGGAACCAGCGGCAGCCTCAGCCCCAGCCCGGGGTTGGAGGTGGGAGCTCAGATCCTGCTTAATCAGTTAATTGGGTAAATGTAAAGTCAACCTAACATTAACTGATTAACTGGGATTTTACATCCCTAGTTGACATGTATATTTCTAGCATTCATATCTTAGGTGTAGCTTCCTTTAATCTTGCATATGACACTGATGCTTCCATTTTTTTCCTGTTTTTCAAAATTCTCTCCGGATATTATCTTGCTCCAGAAGCAGTGATCCATGCCAACTGTGTCCATGACAGTGCCTGATACTGGGCTGTGTACTTACTGTGTTTACAAGATGTGTACTGAGGGGAGGATTTACCCCCCCCCCCCCCCAAATCCTGAGGAAAGATCCCCTTTTGGAAAATCCCCTTAACCATGCCACAGTGTAGCTAGGTTAAGCAGACTATTGAATGCCATCTTTCAATACTGTACAGAAAATACTGCAGAATGAGTGAACAGAAATTCAAATATTTACAATATGAGGGCTATTCTGCTCTCTGTCACACAAGGGCAGCTGCTGTTGAAGTCCAAGGTAATTGATTCCAGAAAACTGGGAGAATTTGGCCCAAGGGCTTGTTCTGAGAACTGAAAAATAGTTACCAGTTTGCCCTGCTCACTTTGCTCAGTTCTTTCTTTAAAACTTGTATCATTTGTCTGATGCGTGGTTTGCTTGTGACCAGTTCTTACAGCATCTGTATTTAAAAACAAATAAATTAAAAATGAAGATCGGATGATAGGTGAAGCTATTTTTGTATGACTTATTAATATTTGCCTTTCCTAATTTTTTTGTAAATCGCAGCTGATGCATTATGATGTCTGTGGAAGTTTGAAGTCTAAATACCTTTTGGATCTTGCTTGTACTATCTCTGGTTGGTATTTGGGACAACCAGATTCAGGGTGTGTCTACACAGCAACGTTATTTTGGAATAATGGCCGTTATTCTGAAATAACTATGCGAGTGCCTCCATAACAATTCTGTTATTTCGAAATACTTTCAAAATAAGACGGCTTATTCTGACTTCTGTGAACCTTATTGTACAAAGAATAATGACTATTCCAAAATAGCTATTTTGAAATAAGGTATGTGTAGACGCTCCACTTCTTCTATTTCAAAATAGAATGACTCTGGTAAGGGGCTAAGTTATTCCTCCTGGGGCTCTAAATCGAGATAACACATCTACATTAGGGAAGCCTGCCTTGGACTAATTTTGAGGCTTCCCTGCAGTGTAGATGTGCTATTCCAAAATAAGCTATTTTGGGATAACTATTCTGGAATAGCTTATTCCGAAATAATTGTGCAGTGTAGACATAGCCTTGGCGTCCTCCTTCCAGATGCTTAATACATACACCACTGTAGGCCCAGGAATAGCTAAGAATGCTTGGGAACGACATAAGAATGGCCATACTGGGTCAGACCAAAGGTCCATCCAGCCCAATATCCTGTCTGCCGACAGTGGCCAACACCAGGTGACCCAGAGGGAGTGAACTGAACAGGTAATGATCAAGCAATCTCTCTCCTGCCATCCAGCTCCACCCTCTGACAGAGGCTAGGGACACCATTCCTTACCCATCCTGGCTAATAGGCAGGCATTTTCTGGTAAAATGTCTTCCTGTTGCTCCAGCTACACCATTTGTGGTAATAGTGATACCACAGTACTATCAAGTTTACTTGACATCAAGATTAAAATACGGCCAGCATCTTATCTACATTAATTTCCTACTGTTGCTACTACTATGTGACCTGAAAAGGTGGCAAAACCAATATGAAATCTCTGGCCAAAAAGGCCAAGTGTTGAGTGTGACAATGCACCCCATACTTATCATAGTGATATTATGCACTTATGACATAATTATGATGCATTTTGCAGAAGGCAAGCTATGTTAGGTGTCACTGGAGAAAAAAAATTGCAGAATTATTATTTTATTTGGTTATCATTTTTGTATCTGAAGTTATGTATATTGATTATGGAGCTGTATTTCAAATGTTCTTACTCTGGAAAACACTTAGAGCTAGCCTTTCAGATACAACAATGGTGAAGATAGGTAGTGCTTCTGGAACATCATCAAATACAATAGGATGTGGAAAAACTTAGCCTTTTTGTAACATTTCAATCAGCTTGTAATGACTAATATGACTCTACTAGGGCATGTGACCAGACCCCATTACACTGATCTCTATCTGGAGTACCTGTATTTTTCCACGAGCTAGACTGAAAACTGAGTCTGAAACAATGTTTCCCACCGTATGATAAAGCTATGTAAAGCTGGGTGTGACCTATATTTTTGGGGGAGAATCAGCGTGGTTAACCCAAGCATACATTATCCTCTCTACAGAGAGGGAGGGGCAAACTATTTATGAGCTTACATTATATTGTCTTGCATTGCATATGTGATGTGAGGCTGGGGAGCTGGTAAATTGGTGGTCTGTTCTTGAGTGGTTTAGGAAAGTGCTTGCGTAGCAGGAAGCATTGGTAGAAGACTATTTTTAGTAGACCAGAGATTACATTTGACTTGAGGCCAGGTTCTCATGAGAATAGGGCTTCTGGGAATTTGGTTTTTTCACCCCTGAGGCTGCTAGTCTGGCCTGTAAAACTGTCACAACCATGCAGTTTCAATGGGATTTTTTGCCTCTCTGGTGTTTGAACTGAGCAGGTATTATTGTTTCTGAAGTAGCAGTCAGCCTTTGTTTTACTGCCAGGAGTTACCCTAGCTCAGGTGTGGCCAACCTGAGCCTGAGAAGGAGCCACAGTTTACTGTAGCTCTTTGGCAACGTACATTGGTAATTTGTCAGCAGTTCTCATCAGGTGCCTCCTCTCCCATCTCCATTATCTTCTGCCCTCCAGCAGCCCCACAGATCAGTGCCTCTTCTTCCTTTCCCAGCCTCCTGCGCACTGCAATCAGCTGTTTCACGGCATTCAGGAGGCTCTGTGGGGCAGGGAAGGAGTGAGGGTGCAATATGCTTGCAGGAGGTGGAGCCAGGAGTTGAGCACTGGAATGTTGGCACCTGTAGCTGCAGCCCAGTGCTATAAGAACATTTTAAGATGGGTTGACCAGATCTGCACACAGTATTCAAGATGTGGGCATACAATGACTTTTTGTAGAGGCAATGTGGTATTTTGTCTTCATATTTATTCTTAATCACCCTGACTTTCTCTTTGTCACCTCAGACTCCCTGCCCCACTGGGAGCAGCTGAAACTCTGCTGCAGTTAAGAACTGCCTCTGGAGTCAGGGCATGCAGCTCTCCGGTATAAAATTCAGAGGGTTCAAACTTGGGGGGGAAGGGCTACTACAACCAACCCCCAATAAATAGCACCCTTGGTGCAAATGCCAGCTCAGGGTGAGGCCTTGCACTTTTTTTTATTGTGTGACAATACGACAGAGATTTCTCAATCACCTTTAACTGCTACTTGCCATTTTGTATTCCCCAAGATAAACGAGGGGGCATTTGAACCGACCTTTTCGGAGGCTGCCTGCATGTCAGCTCTCTGAACATAACGGGAAAAAAAAGGTATGACTTTCATTTTTTTATCCCCAAATTTGGTGCTTTAATTCAGCCCCTTCTGCAAGCCCAGCCTCGGGCATACAAAGAAAGACACGCCCCATTTTCTTTAGAAAGCGAAAGCGATACTGTTATTTTTTTAGACACCATTCCCCCCCCCTCCCCTATTCAAACACCATTGCAGTAGGGGCACAAGAAGGAGGCCTGAACCAACCCCCTGCGTCCCCAGCCCATGTCCCTGCCCACAGCTAAGGGCAGATGTTGGGTCTGTGGTTCCCCAGCTCCCCACACGTGCCGGGGGGAGGCAGCACGGGAGCGGACTCCACGTCCAGTTCAGCGGCCCACGGCCTCGCCGCCTTCAAACCCCGCCCTTGCTCCCCAGCCGCCTTTACCTGCCGCCTTTCCCGGACGGATCCTGTCGACCAAGTCGTTGCGGGGGATGCAGGCGAGCGTCTCGCTCAGCACCTCCGTGGCCGTGCGCGGGTAGCGCTGCGCCAGCAGCTCCGCCAGCGCCGGGTATTCCTGCACGCCCTCCAGGTCCGCCTTGCTGGGGCAGTGCGGGTCATTCTCCCGTTTTCGCAGGTGGAACTTGAATTCACGCAGCTCCTTCGCGTCCAGCTCCTTCAGGATGCCGAGGATTTGTCTCTCCATCCCGCCGCTGCCGCGCGCCTCTCGCCCCCGCCCCCGCCTTCTCCCGGGCGGGGCGGAGCCTCCAAACTCCGCCCGGCTCCCTGCTCGGGCCCTGGCTCCTGGCATGCAGCGTCCGCTGGACGTGTCCGGGCCCACAAGGGAGCAGCCAAACTGCTGCTCGTCGCTGCGGAGTCACAGGGTGCTGGCCCCTGTCCAACGTGCTGTCAAGAGTGCCCTGCTGTCTCCTGCCATCAGCACCGGCTACGGAGAAGTAGGTGGAACAGCTGCAAGGGCCACAAAGGGGGTGATGGAGACTAAAGTGCAGCTTGTCCTCGACCTGGCATTTGAGACCCCCTCCCCCAAAACTGAGTGGCATTGAAAGCTGGCACAAAGGAGTTGCAACACTACTCAGCTTGGGCTCAACCATTTCTTTACTGTGGTGGCAGGTGGCCAGGCCAAATATGAGTGAGTGGCACGGTGACCCGGTGTGCAGGAGTGTAGCTCTACTCACATTTGGCACAGTAGCTGCTCTGTCACTAGCCAGGCTCAAATTGATTGATTGGCACTGTAACCCTCCCCCCCATTGCAGGTTTCAAGTTTTGGAGCAGAGAGCCAGGCCCATTTCTCTAATGCCCTAACACATCGCCACCCAGGGCTGTGGGATGAGCTTACTTTCTAGCATACACACACCTTCCTTGGCGGCCCCTCAGTGGTCATTTTTTGGAGCAAAGACACCTCCAAAACTTTTCTGCAGCATTGTCTGCAGTCTAGAAAGGATCCATCACAGGCAAATGGCTTTAGTTCCCCCATCCTAAGTACAGTAGACAGTTTCCTTAGGTTTAGAGATACATTAAACATTGGGCTGATACCTCAGATAGGTGGTGCATAGCCTAGCCTGCCAGCCTTTTCTTGACCTTGGCAAACTCTTTAGTAGGAGAGGGGGAAAACCCACATGATTTTAGATAGGTATTGTTTTAAAAGGCTGCAGTTGTACACATCTTATTTGTGAGGTCCCAATGCCCTTGGAAATAGGTGGTATTATGCTGTCTGTATTGTAAAGATAGATGTCTTCATGTTGGTTATATTCTAGCTCCAATTAACCCACGGAAGAGACCAATTCTAAACACATACTAGGTCTACACTGGCAGCTTCTTGCGCAAGAACTGTTTTGCAGAAGAGTTCTTGCACAAAAAGTCTTCTACAAGAGCGCATCTACACTGGCATGTGCTTTTGCACAAGAGATGTGCTTTTGCACTATGGCAGTGTGGACGCTCTCTTGCGCAAGAAAGCTCTGATGGCCATTTTAGCCATAGGGGTTTCTTGTGCAAGAAAATCATGTTGCCTGTCTACACTGCCTTCTTGTGGAAGAGCTCTTGCGCAAGAGGGCTTATTCCTCGTGGGGAGAGGAATAACTCTTCCAGAAGAAGCCCTGTTTTCTGACGCTAGACTGTAAATTTATTTGCACAAGAACGCGCATGCAGTGTAGACACCTGGCAAGTTTTTGCACAAGAACACCTGAACACCTGGCAAGTTTTTGCGCAAGAACACCTGAACACCTGGCAAGTTTTTGCGCAAGAACACCTGAACACCTGGCAAGTTTTTGCGCAAGAACACCTGAACACCTGGCAAGTTTTTGCGCAAGAACACCTGAACACCTGGCAAGTTTTTGCGCAAGAACACCTGAACACCTGGCAAGTTTTTGCGCAAGAACACCTGTTCTTGCACAGGAAGCTGCCAGTGTAGACTTAGCAATACAGTAAATGAGCCATGTCTAAGAGGAGCAGAGGCATCACTAGATCAGGCTGGGTCTATATTTGAAAGCTAGTTATTCAAGCAATATCCACTTGCTGCAGGAAGCTGTGCTCCTGGCTTAGTTCTTCACTTGGGCTGTGTCCAGACTCCATGCCTCCGTCGACGGAGGCATGTAGATTAGCCAGCTCGGAAGAGGGAAATGAAGCCGCGATTAAAATAATCGCGGCTT